ATTAACTCAAAAAAGGCGTATCATCTTCAATTCCAGCCAATATGTCATACAACAATAAAACTCGGAAAATGCCCAGGACATAGTTGAATCACGGCATAATAAACAATCGGCAGGCTAACTTGTCTTGGCGGCAACGCTATGCGCACATCTACACGCACACCGCCATTTTGGGGTCCAACCTCTCAATCAAGCCAGTGGCGTCACTGTCGTCGTTTATATCGACAAAAACAAACAGGTTGCAGTAGCACGGAATCAGTAGCGTCTATCTTAAATTTATTTTGTTTGTGATGTTTGTATTATATAGTTATTGTTATTTGTTTAGAATTATAGATATTTTTTGACACTTTTTATATAGTAGTTTTTTCCAGTGTTAATTTGTTAACTTTTAAGTGTTTTACTATGTCTGGGCAAAGTTGTGCAGCAAAAAACTATATGAATAAACTGAATAAAAGATTTCTTCGGTTTCTTAAAGATCTTATTAGGTATGTATGGTATACTTTTAAAAAAATCCTAGTTTATGAGTCAGTTTGTCAGTTATAAAGCTATTAGTAAGATGTAGGTAGGTGCCTAGTTAACGTCACGTAAAGTTTAGCGTCTATTTATATTTACTTATGTAGGTATATTATTAAGATTTAAAGTAAATAGTTATATTTTAAACATCTCCCGTATGGAGTTGACAAAATGGAAAAATCTTTATTTTTATTTTAAGGAAAAAATCATTATAAAAAAATTCTGTTTGACGAAAAAATAGGTTTACTATATTAATATGTTAGGTCAGGTGCACATGGTCTTAATAAATGAAGAAACTTAAAATTGTCAAAAGGAAAAAATCTGTATTACCTTATTGATTTTACAAAGAAAAGTCACAGTTTTCCTTTCGGTTTTCCTTCATAACTTTAAAAGGAAACTTTTTCTTGTAATTTTCTTCAACAAGCAGAATTTTTTGTATGGAATAATTTTTTTTTCTGAAAAAAAAAATGAATATTAATCGTAATTGTATTATTCCCAAATATTGAAATGCTTAACAAAAATTTAATTCTGATATTTATTTTGATAAATATTCTAGATATGCGAATAACAAAGCTTTATAATCTTGATAAATCTAAAGTATTTTCATTACAAAAAGCAAGAAAATCTTAATTAGCCATTAAAGAAATTATAAGTAGTAAATTAGTAATGAGTCACAATCAAAATCATGTGTTTCAAGCAGTGCTATTATAAATGTAAAATTCTTATATTTTGTCGAAGTAAATTCAAAAGTCCGCCAATTTTCAAGCTAAAATAGCCTTACATCTTTCTATATTACTGACTGAGTATTAATTGCACAAAACTATTCCATATGTCGCTGAAGGTAAACATGCTGCCAAATTTCTTTGAGGAATCTGCAACTGTTAATTATCCTTCCTCCATGAGGGTAACTGTGTAAACCCTACATCGGTCCAAATTCAAAGGACGTTCAAAAAATTGCAATGTTTAAATTTATTACATTCTGGAACTGAAAACTGCGAAACAGGTGGGGATGCTTTACTTGTAAGGCTACATGAAATTCGTAGGACTACTAAGGATGAGCCATTTTCCAAAATCGCGTGTAATGGTGGCAATATTGTCGAAAATGTAAATATAAACAAGCATATTAATGAATTGCATGCACAAAATATTAATATTTTTTAAGAAAATTTTATTATATATGCGGATTTTTAATAAAAAAATGTCTTAAAATTCAACGTTGCGATGTATGTACACAATATGCCTTAACACACGAAGACTTGGATATAAGCTCCATGTATTGTTATTATAAAGCATACAAAAAAAGCAAATAAAGATATTTTTGGCAATTTAAAAATGTCAAATAATAGTTTTGTATGTTTAATAACAAAAATTGAAATAATTTTTCATCACAATTTTGAATTATTTATCACTAAATCCGGCGTTTGTCATTTTTTTTAGATTTAATTAATTCCGAGATAACATTTGACGCTCCTTGTCCCCGATTTCCATAAATATATGTTATTAAGGGTCGATTCCACCGTTGTGTTAAACGGAGATTAAAATGACATTGTTAATGTCAAAATGTAATTTTAAACTTCGTTTAACACAACGGTGGAATCGGTCCTAAGTTATATTTAAGGCTGCTCATATATTTCACTTTAAAAATATTAATAGATATTTTAAGACCATCAATAAAAACAAGCTAATTATTTGGCGCAATCTGTGAAGCTTTTTTGTTTTAATACGATCCTGCCTATCAATACCTTATTTTATTACAAAATCTTTAAATACGCTTTAATCCAACCCTGACTAAGACCCCCGAATGGCGTCGTCAAGGTCAAATTTTCTTAGTATAATATTTGTATGCGATCAGCGGAGAGTGGGCTTGCCGATTGTTTATTATGCCGTGGTTGAACACTTTGCCAGCTTTTTTGCTGAAAATTATATTGCGTCAGGACCATACACTGCCTCTAACGTTACATCTTGCTCAAATCTGGTAACTATGCTCTTTTTTACAGAAAACGAAGTTTTGATTGCCCTAAAAAAATGAAGTCAAAAACAACGACCGGCCCTGATCTTATTCCTTCCTTTCTAATTAAAGACTGTGCTCAAATTTTTTGTAAACCTTTACAATATATCTTCAACTTAATGCTATCATTTGGAAGCTTTCTTGAATATGCCCTGTTTTTAAAAAAGATAATCGAACGAAATATGCAATTATAGGCCCATTACTACTCTGTGCAATTTTTCAAAAACATTTGAGATTATTTTGCATGATCATCTCTCTTTCAAGCTCCATAATGTTATTATACCTGAACAACATGGATTCATCAGAAGACGTTCTACTATAACAAATCTCTTCTATTTTACACAGTTCTTGTGTGAGGCAATTGACAAAATGAATCAGGTAGACGTAATCTATACTGATTTTTCCAAAGCCTTTGATAGTTTGGATCATAGCATACTACTAACAAAACTTCACCAGATCGTAATGTCTGAACAGCTAATAACTGTCATAAAATCCTATATATGTGGACGCACCCAATTTGTTCAATATCTGGGTCTCAAATCACGTGTATTTTCTCAAACTTCCGGAATACCTCAAGGCTCTATTCTGGGTCCTCTTCTCTTCAACGGTTTTGTAATATTTGTAATATTGATGTAAAATATTTACTATATGCTGATGATTTAAAACTATTCCACACCATTAATAACTTGAATGATTGCCACTCTCTACAACGTAATATTAACCTATTAAATGATTGGTGCACTGCCAACAAATGTAGTTTCTTGGAATTATATGATTTTTAAACCAGGGTGATTTTGGAATATGTTTTTGAATTTTAGTGTACTGATTCGAATAAGTGGAACAGAAATGTGACCAAGCATGCCTCCATTTTCTCATATTGTTAGATTTTATCAAGGCAACAATATCTAGGCTACAGATGTTATGAATGGTGTTAGTTTCTTTTTTTATTGCGGATTTTGGTAGCATTTCAACATATTCATTGTGTTTAAGTCCAATATGAGCCTTTATCCATATAAAGCATATCTTTACGTTATTATTAATTAGTTGGAACAATGCCTTTTTGATCAAGAAAATGTATGGATTTGAATTAAAATTTGAAATGTCCACAGCTACAGTCGATTTTAAAACAGATAAAGAATCTGAAGCAATTAGAGCTGCTGTAGTGTTAGATTCTGTTACAAATTGTAAGGCTTCTAGTATCGCAATCGCTTCTGCAGTGTAACCAGAAAAGTTATCAAGTAGTTTGTAAAGAGTTTTAATATTAAGAGACGGGACATAGTAGGCTCAATCAGTGCCTAGGTCTGACTTGGATGCATCGGTGTATATAATGGTATGTTCAGGAAAGCTATTTATGTGACAAAGAAGTAGATTTAAACAATTATGAGGATTTTCATCATAATTGGATTGTCTAAGTAAGACTTTGGTAAAGAAACAATAAAAGTAGGATGTAATAAAGAATTGGTCGAAAGAACCTAGGGTGTCGAACGCTATCTCATAATTTTGAACAGCTTTACAGAACGACGGTGAGTTCTTATTAATCCAGTATTTATTTGTTAGATCGTATGTACTAAGTTGAATAATTTCTTAAAATAAGGTTGAATTATTGAAGAATGTCTTAAAGATAAATTGTTGACTTAGGTATTCTATTCTATATTTAATGAGTGGCTCTACAGCTTCGATATAAAGGGATTTCGGTTTTTGTAGATTTCATAGTACCCAAGCATGTGCGTAGTACAGAATTTTAAAAAACTTCTAACTTTTGTGGTAGAGAATTGTTGGCCGATCCATATAAAATTCACCCATAGTCCGGTATAGATCGAATGTAGGATCTATAAAATAGTAAACCTGTATTAACATCGGCACTTAACCAAACTTTTTAGATAAATTTTAGAAAATTTAATCCCATTTGACACCTGTTCAATGCATATTCAATGTGATGTTCCCACGTGAGCTTCTTATCAAAGATCATTCCAAGACATTTAGCGCGTGTTTGTAAAGGAAATTATTGTTGTTTTAAAATAATTGTATTATTATTATTATTATTAGGTGTGTTGTGTCGGGTGAAAATACATACAACAGTCTTGTTGATAGAAATTTCAAAACCATTAATACGGCACCAAGACTGCAAAGTAGACATAATTGTATTTAAGGATGTAAGAGAAAAGCCATAGAAGGTTGCAAATTGGAATATCTTTTATGAGTTAGGTCAAAGGGTTTGCATCACTTTTATAATTTTTTAAGTAAGTCCAGCTTGAGAAATAGGTGGGCAACGCACCCATTTTAAAACTGCTTTACTTGATATTTATTAAAACAAAAATAATAAAATGTTCATAGATTTAATACAGAATGTGTAATTTTTCTTTTAGTTTTATTAAAAGTTAGTAAAAGCTTACGAAAAAATAAATTTTATTGAAAATTTTTCTCTAAAATGGATATTTAAAATGTTTCAATGTGTGTCTTAATATTGTTTATTTTTTTACAGGAATACATCCGTCAGAGTCGCGAACAGCAGCTCAACGAACTCGAGAAGCAAGACCAAATAGAGAAGAGATCGATGAAGTCTCGAACTAGATCGCACAGCTCGCCGTCAATCGACTCTTCCAACCGATATGACGGGAGCGTCCACGTGGTCACTTCGGCGACTCCTTGTTACGTTCCTGGCGGCGACGTGCTCCCGATTCTCATCAGGAACGAGCACAGCATGAGTCCGTCGAACGGGGATGCCTACAACACCAATATATATACGGTAAGTGAAATTGTTGCGCTCTTTGATCTAAACCCGGATATTTTTTTGAGTATCTGAATGTAAGATGGAATCAGGTTAGAAAGTGAAAATATTTTAAGAAAAATTAATAATTCAATATAACAATATAAAAAAAGGGAAAAAGTATATCCAGTTCAACAGTCTCAATAGAAAAAAATTATGTTTTATTTTCTGTCATGTTTTAAAACTGTTTTAAATATATTCAATAAAACAACATTATGAATGCATACCACTCTTTCTATAATATACAAATTAAAAATAGGTAATAACGTTGCAATAAAAATCATATTTAAGAAGGAAAAATATAAATATACTATAAGATATTGCTACCTACTTTCTGTGCCTAAGCACTTGAGGTGGGATTTATATTAATCCAGGTGTTTAATGCCGACTGACTACAGTGAAGAAGGGGTGAGTCGTAGCAAAAGTTATGTATGTAAGTGGGCGCCAGAAGTTTACTCACATCCAACAATCCCAAGTGACGGTCCACTATAAAACTCTAAATCGCCAAACCAAATGCATCTCCTCTACGAAGGTCTTCAAGCGGCTACAAATTGAGTATGCTCCTACTATTATAAAACGTTACCTTACCATAGGTCTTATTGCCCAACCCGATTATGAAATCGAACAATTAGCAAGTGGGGTTAAATTACAAAAAAAATTCAATAAATAAATACCCAAGTTTTAATATTATAAATTTTGTGTTGACATGGGGGGTCAACCTCGTTCACACTTCGAAATAAACAATATTTAACTACTAAATCATTTAGTACATTAACGATTAGATTCCCCAACTATAAACAATAATCCAGCATCACTGGGAGTATTATTCACTAATAAAACGCTATATTAGACTTAAAAATATTTAAGTGGGACTAGGGGTAATCTTAAAAATGTGACACATGAGGTGTGAACTATATTTATCAAAATAAATAAATAATAGTGATCTATTTACGGTCGCTAGGGGTAAAAACGAGTAAAACTCTGTTATTTAATAAAATCAATAGTTACCCATAAGTAATATTCCCCACGAAGAGCTCTTGGTGACGTTTTCGGATTTATTAAAATCTACTGTAAATTATACACCCCTAAACCTCGTCTACATTAGCAAAGAATACCTACCCAAGAAGCGACACTAAATGGGCGATTCGTGGACAAAAAACTGCCAAGTTTTCTCAGTGTTTTAGAGGTGGTTTAACGTCAAATATAGCTGTCAATTTATGTAGAGCAACGTTTGGTATATTATTATTAGCGTTTTGTGAAAATTTTAGTATAGTTAAGTAGTTGTATTTAACTAAGTAGTAATAATAAATTTAATAGTTTTAAAATTTGTATTACATGAAAAAAAAAAAAATACATTGTGTTATTCCTAAATTTTATTGAACGTTCTTGCATCTAGCTGTCAATCTTTTTTTTTTAATTTCTAAATCATTACCTATAAAGATAATTTACGCCTACGTATTATGCATCGTTTAATTTCTTACTTTTTATTTAAATATGTTATTTTTTTGTTTTTCAAACCATTCGAATTAAAACAGTAAATAAACAATACAAAACAATAATTAAAATATATGACAAACTCACTTCGAGGAACCAAGTCGCTGCTATTAGGATGCAATCGAAACTCATTTACCTACAGTACTCCTGAATATGTAAAATGTAGAGGGTGGGTTACCCCACTGCACTTAAGCCTCACTAAGCCCATTGTGTATCCTAAAATTATAGACACCTCCTAGCTCGTGAGCCGTCCTACAGATTTAATGTAGTTAACAACGTCGCCAAGAGGTGCTTCTCTTATATCGGCCGGTGTTAGCTAATACTCGTCGAAAATAAATCTTCTAATAAATAAGAGCTATTGGCAATCGTAGATGATATGTTCAATGGTCTCATCTTTTTGTTCGCATCCCGTGCAGGGTGTGGATTCTGACAGCCCTATGATATGAAGATGCTTCCGTACTTAGCAATGACCAGTCAGAATGCCTGTGATCAGATGCAGATTCTGTCTAGTCATATTCAAGTATTTGTTTGTTGTAGTGTTGTTAGGATAACTTTAAAGATCCCTGGTAACTCAGCAGTTTCTTGTTTCATCCCATTTTTTCTTCAATTTCACAAGGGAATATTCTTTAATTAGGTCTGTCACTACCGATGTTGTCAGTCCAATAGAAGGGCCAGGTCCAAAAAGTATTTAGTTGGCCGCCTTCTTGGCTAGTAAATCAGCAATAAGAGGCTACCTTTTGATGTGGCGTCACCTTTGATCCATCTCAATGTGATTACTTAGATGAATACTCTTGCCAAAGCTTCGTGACATTTTAGTAATAACCCTAATTCGTAATCTGTTCAGGGTAAGTAGTGATTATCTGCTGTCTGTATAAATGAGCATGTTTCTACTAGTAATATTGTTCTGGTGATTTCTTTTGCTGCTATGAGAACCTCTGTGAGCTCCGTGAATTACAGTTGCACTATTGCTCACAGCCCATTTTATGTTGAGGTTTATGGAATTGGAGTATATTTCACATGCTCAGCATTATCTTGTTTTAGAACCATTGGTGTAGATATGAATCGTACCTGTCACTTCCGGCTCTTCTATTTATTTATATTCGCTTGAAGCAGTGGGAGCGTATTGAGCGCCTTTTGCCAAAAGTGATGTCTCGCCTCACCAGATCGTACATCAGGTTCTATTCCAACCGTGCAGAGGCATGTCATTGTCATCAGAGCAACCTCCTTGATGTAATACCAAGGGAAGTGAGACTAAGAACGACTTCCATGGCTCTGGTTGGTGTGGTTTTCATGACTCCTGTTATGTTGAGACATGCTGTTATTTGAATTTGTTCTATTTTGCTGTCAATTTTTGGATTTTCGGTACCCAGACAACTGCACCGTATGTTATATAGCATAGGTCTTATGATGGCTATGTAAGTCCATGTGACGACTCTGGGGGAGAAACCCCAGGTGCGCCCCACGGTTTAGTGGCATTCACATACTTTGATTACTATACGAGGCAAGAGAGAGGTCCGACACGCCCAACATAGGGCGCGGCCATTTTGAACCCTGTGATACAGTTTACAGCTAAAGAATCAGATCGCTCACTCTGCGTCGGCACTTTTGATCTCAATGTTTCAGTTTATACACTGTGCAACTCGGATAATACAATATATGAACCGCCTATAATAAAACAGCAGTCTTCTGCGTATCCTGAATTTGTATCCCAGGGGGTCGATTCTCGACTCGTAGGAATATTTTCCTATAGGAATTTTTGACATTTTTATATACATCGAAAATTTATGACATTTTCCTACATATAGGAAAGTGTCACAAATTCCTATAGGAAAAGGTTCCTACAAGTCGAGAATCGACCCCCTGGAGTGGATGTTATTTTGGAACTTTCAACTGGTCCGAGTGAGCTAACTGATTCTTTAGCAATAAACTGTGACTTCAAAAATAATATTCACTGACACTGACAGCAGCAAGCAAAATATTAGGTGCGTTTTAATCATCCGCTTCTGCTTCCGGAATTGTCGGTTTAGTCGTTTTAACCTGTCAGATTAAAACAAGAAAACCGACAATTCCGAAGCAGAAGCGGATGATTAAAACGCACCTATTAAAAATATTGCGCCAAGATGTAGGCAACACGTAATAAGGTTTCAAAATGGCGGAGTTTTCTATCTCCTTTTAAAAGGCACTCAGAAAGCTGCGCAGTGCGACCATTCTCCGTATAGTAAAAGAAAATCAAAGTATGTGGTGGTATTATTCATACGTAATGTATGCCATTTTGACTATGTTTTCTAACTGTGAGTTCTATGTTAACTTGTTGTCAAAGGTGCTACCTTGCAACGAAGGTGAAGTACTTCACCTCTGTTGCAAAGTTTTGTTTTGTGTTTAGGAGCTTTGTAGGTTTTAATTCCATGTTCATCATTTTCCTAGTAAAAAAGATTATTTCTGTCTTCTTGAGATTGATAGACAGTAAATGGTCCTTGCACCACTGTTCCATAATTATTCTATTTGCAGAATGACCAGGTCATCTGCTTTCGCTATTGTGTAGTGACTGTCATTATTGTACCTACAGTACTTATTTCGCTATTAAAATAATGTATTTGACATAATGAACATAGTAAGAATTTTCTGTCTGTCATTGTTACTTAGTATGTGTTTAAATAATTATGAACCAAACGACAAAAACTGATTAACTTTTATACGTTTCCCAGTGTATTAAGTTCTCTTGCTTTGGTACATACGAAAACTCATTCAGTTTCGCTTCTTGAGTAGGTATTCTTTGACATTAGGTTTAGATAAAGTTATGTACTAATACCCCCCAGTAAAATAGATTAAAAATAGAAATATAGTAATATAAAAATAAGTGAGCAAAAACTTGCGGTAAACCGAGACTTCTTTCCAGCTGGAAAAACTCTAGTAGACGGTTGATGTCCTACTATCTCTGCTTCGTTTGCGGCATACAAATCGAACTGCCTGTCATAAAGGTGTCATCTAGCTCATCACAAGGTTACTAGCCTGTCACAAGAAGTGCTAGTCCGTCAAAAGCATACTAGCCTGTCACAAGAAGCACTAGCTGGTTACAAGAAATTCTAGCCCGTCACAAGATGTGCTGGCCCGTCACAAGAACCCTAAAGAAAACGTATAAGATAAAACACAGCAATAACTATTTATCCCTGGTTAATAAAGAAGTTAAAATTAAATAACCAGGTACCTACATAGCCTTCTCGTGAAGCGAGGTCTAGAAATAGGTAGTAACTACTCAACGTTTACTAGTTAAATTAAAGTTCGGCTTATTAATTTATGTAGGTAATCTTCAGATATAACAAGCAACAAGATAGACGGCTCGTGAAGCGAGTTCTATCCAACAATTACATTTAATAGACAAATTACACCCTTAGATTTCAAAATACTACCCCTTAATAGTTAATTCCATATACAGAAAATAAATACAACGAAAAGAAACATAAATTAGGGTTAATAATCGTCTAGGT